CAGTAAATTTTCCTGAACCACGGCTTTCTCCTCTAGAAATGGGGAGAATAATACTTATGGGGTTATTGTGAAGAGAAAAATTAGATATTTGACTTGTGCTCAAGTACATATTGAGTACACTGGCCAATATTTAATATAGTGCATGACATAACCAAACATTAAAATGTTTGTTATCACTGTTCATATCACCAACAAATGTGGATGTCAGTTTCATAGTATAGTCAGCATCACAGGATATTATTGTTTAAAAATAAAAAGTGTTCGTTTGACAAGCAAAAGGTGCTATGTTGTTTTAATTTTCATTTCTTTGATTTCTAGTTCTGAAAATTATTTTTTCTTTTTCTATGTACTCTGTTTATATACTATGTCTATTTTTATATATAATTTTAGTTATTTAAAACACATATACAAGAGTTCTTTATTAGGAATACAAATCTTTTGTTGTCATTATTGCTGCAAACATATCCCCAATATTTTGGCTTTTTGTCAGTTTCACTCATTACACATTATATTAACATGCAAGCTTAATATTTTATGAAATCAGGTATTTCCCTTTCTGATTATTTCAATATACTTTTGAAATCTAATGAAGTGATTCACTTTTCAGAAGTTTCAAAAGGCCTTCCAGGTGGCGCAGCAGGTTGAGCGCAGCGCTGTGAAGCTGTCCGCAGCCTCTGCAGGGCGGGTTCAATTCCTGGCCGGCCAGGGAGATACCCACATGGCACGGCAGACCTCTCCTGTCTAACCCGCTGCTCCCCTCAGCAGTGTATTTCAGTCAGTCTGCCTGTACTGCTCCCCACTCTGTCGCTGGTGAATCCTCTCGCCCTCCTGCACCTCTGGCCTGTACCCCAGCTATTGTGTAAATAAATAAATCTTTAATATAAAATAAAAATTCAAAAAAAAGTTTCAAAATGCAACTCTGTGCTTGTTAATACTATGCTAGTATTATTTGGGACCTATATCTTAATACAGAAAAATATGCTGATCATAAGTTTACAATCTGATGAATTTCCACAAAATGGTTATTTTTATTGTATTCCTTTACCAGGACTGCCATAACAGAACACCACAACTGGGTGGTTTAAACAACAGCAATCTTGTCTCACAGTTCTGGAGGCTTCAAGAAGTCTTAGATCAATATCTGAAGGTTGGTTCCTTCTGAAGACTATGGGGGAGAGTTTGCTCCATGTCATTCCCCTAGCTGCTGGTGTGCTGGCCATCTTTGGTGTTTCTGTTAATGTGTTGTCCCAAGTTCTGCCTTCATGTTCATGTAACATTCACATGTGCATGACTCTCTATCTGCATTCCCCCTTTTTATAAGAACACCAGAGCTCACACTAATGACCACATTTTAGCTTGATCACTACTGAGCTAACCCAATTTCCAAATAAGGTCAAATTCTGAGGTACTAATGGTTAGGACTTCAGCATATCTGTTTGGGAGAAAGCAATTCAACCCACAACACTCATGAAACTACAACACAGATCAAGAAAAAAAAAAATATCTACCTTTCTAAAAACCTATCTCCCTTCCCCTTCATCTTCACCCCTTGACAAGGTTACCATTCTTTCTTGTGATTTCCCGCACCATAGATGACATTTTCCCTGTCCCTGAATGCACAACATGGATCCTTCAATGTCTGGTTTCTCTGCCTAAAAATTCTACCTGTGAGATCCATCCACATTACTGCACTGTTGCATTTAGCGTAGCTTATTCTTCTCATTTCTATGTACTTTTAACAAAAGGAGGAAAAATAACTTTACTGTTGATACTTAGATTGTTTCCAGTTTGTAACTACTGTGAATACACTACTATGAAAATCCCAGCACAAGTTTTTGATGAACATATACTCATATTTCCACTGGGCACATGGAACAGTCAAAGTGACTTCATGTTTAGCTTTACCAGATGCTCCTACACATGTTTTCAACATAGCTTCCAGCTGTGTATGAGAGTTTTGCTTGTTCCATGTCCTCATCAGCATTTCATGTTGACTTAAACAAAAATATTTTTGATGATAAGAAGAAAGAAAATTAAGGAAGGAGAAAAGAGAAAGAAGCAGAAGGAGATGAAGAAGAAGAAAAGGAAGAAGAGGAAGAAGAAATCTTCCTGCTAAAGTTACTATGAAAACCAGACATTGGGCTGGTAATTTTACCTATATTATATAATCTCATTTAAACTTGTAAATACCCTCCAAGGGAGTTACTAGCGTCCTTTTACAAACGAGAAAACTAATTATCAGCGTGATTAAGTAATTTGCCCAAAGAAACAGTACATAGCAAGGTCAGGTTTGATCCAAATTTGTCTGATTAGCAAAACCAGAAACTTTCCAGTCCAGATAAATATAAATTTGGTTGCTGTGGAAGTGAGTGAAGACCTAGGCATCATGTTATAACACGGGGGGGATTCGTGTGGCTATTGCATGACCACTTTAGTGATAAGAGGTGGACACAGCTGTAAATCTCTACCTGCAGGCTGGTTTGCTCCATCCTATTTTCCCTTTAACGTTAAACAGGAACATTTGTTATTAGGTTCTGCTCCAAATATTGCCCAGTGAATGATTATTTTGAAGACTGACTCTGAGAACAAATGGGTGTTCTTAATATTCTAAAGAAGATATAAACCAGCCCTGAAGTAGTGAAAAAAGCAAGGGGTCAGGTCTGGGGCCAAGGAAAAGCAACCCTAATAGACCGCCTGGCGCCGCTCTCACCACTAATGCTCACCAGCACTCCTGAGCCTTCAGCCCACACTCCCAGGCCCTGTCTCTAGGTAACAACACCAGGAGCATGGACCCTTAAGAATAAAGCAGGAGCCAAGTTCACTTGTATTACACCCTCTGCTGCATCGCCCTCGATGGTAGAGTGAATATCAGGGAGGGTAAAATGCTTTATGGAGCAGGAAGGTCAAAACATGTTGCCAAATCATCCTCTGCCCAAGATACTCAGTGGACTCAGCAGTGGGAGGCTGTGCTGAGACAGGCACTGGGCTATATCTCCAGATACAACATGTTAGTTTTCACAAATTCCCTGAGAGAAATAAATTTCTGTGCTCTCATTATGACAAGTGTGCCTAAGTGAGGTTAGAAAACCTATTTGAGGCTACACAAAGGGAGAAAGAAACAACACGACAGCTCCAAAGGATGAAGAAAAGGGGAAATGTGGACTTTTCTGAATTATGAATTGTGTTGTTAAGGAACCTGAGGGAGTAGAGGGGGTATACGCTCACTTTTTTTTTTTTTTTAATGTAAGGCAATAAAAAAACACCAAATAGTTTCCTGTTGAACTGCTGAAAGTTTGTTCTGGAATATGAAAACTTTAGAAAGCGAATTCTGGTGTCGTGAGCCAACAACCCTTATTTATGAACCATATAATGATTGGGTCCAGGGACTCATCTCCTATAAAAGTATTCCATTGATAAGGTTCTAATCAGTTTCAATATTGTTACTTTCTAGTTTTGTGCCAGTGCAATGATTTTAGAAAATACAAAATTTTCATTAATTTGCTGCTTGGCTTATTTGTCTCTTAAAACACTGGTTTGATTTTAAATTCAAGTTAAACTGCGTTCTGAGTTCAAAAAATCCATGTACTTTTTCCCCTCCCTCTATATTTAAATCTGTTGGTTTATTTGCCTGATCAGGTCACAGACATAAGCGTCCCAGCAGTGATTATGCCAGCATACATTACAATGGAAGCCCTGTAGGCAGAGCAGGGCAAGAGCCATTCAGGAAGGAGCAATGGGCTGACACTGGGTGCAACTGACACGGAGGCACCTTCCCCAGGCACACTGGACCTGGACAGAGGTCTCAATTTAAAAAACAAAAAATTAAAACAAACAAAGAAGAGGAGAGACTCATTCACTTTTGCTGTTATAGTCAGAAGGCTCAGTCATCAGAGCTCCTCCCAAGACTTTCCAAACACAGCTCAGGAGCCTTTCTTCCTAACCAGTGGGTGGGCTTAGAGGAACCCCAGTCCCATTCTGGAGACAGGGGGAGTGCAGTCTGAGGACTGAAATGCCCTCTGCCTGCTCCAGCACACAAATGTGCTTCTGGCAATCACAGAGACAAGCAAATGGTGTGGTATGGGTGCTCTTAATCTCTATTTTATCGTCTCCAACAATTTAGTGGTTAATTAGCAATTTGCTGCCCACCGATATGCAAATGAGTGACAAGCAAAGGCCCTCAGCATCTGTAATTATTTTGCTGATTTACAAGCCACTTTCCTCTCTTTGTAGGTTTTTCTGTGTGTGCATTCATGCATCAAGGATTTCATTATTTTTAGAAGCATACTCTGCGCATTTTATGCTTTAATATTTTCAAGCATCAGTAATTACAGTAGTCTGGATATATATTTTTGCTCTCAATTCCAAACGCATTTTATTTCTCTGGAATACTTTTCTTTTGATGAAGAGGGGAGAGTAAGATTTATCAAGGGGCTGAAATCCAAATTGCCGAAAGAGAAAAATCAGAGCGCAAGATTGAAAGATGCACAGTTCTGCAGCTGCCAAATCCTTATCTGGAATCGGAGTCGTCTTGTAATATTTGATTTTCTCCCAAGCAGCTCCTGCAAGTCGAGCCACGATCTGCTTTATCCATCTGCCTACTTTGGAGTAGGGTGTTTTACTATTTGGCGGTTTAAATGCTTTACGTTTTCGCCAGCGCATTAAGAAAGGCTCTCATGTTAAATTAAGTCAATTAATAAATGGAGACACATTAAGCAATCAATTTTGTCAGCCTATCTCCCCAGCATTATGTATGGTTGGCTGTAATCACAAGATAAATGCAATGTGCTGATCTATGGTAATGTTCAATAATACATTCTCCGCCAGGCTCAATTCATCAGGGAGTTTCGGTAGGGGAGGCATTTGTTATTGGCTGTCTCTGCACCTCAAGGATAACATTTCTGTCCTTTTGATTGGCCGCCTCACTGCTGCAAGATTCTAACCGTCTTATTTTGATGATGAATATGAAGGCACGCTAAGCCGGGCTGGAGCGGAGTGTCTCAGAGGCTGCGCTCCTTCCACAGCCCAAGGGCTCATCGCTTCCTCCCGCTGCCTTCCTGTGCCCACAACCCCCCAAAAGTTGTGATGCTTTTCTTTACCCAGTGCTTTGGGGCTGTGTTAGATCTCATTCACCTCCGCTTCCAGCACTACAAGGCTAAACGGGTTTTCTCCGCTGCTGGGCAACTTGTCTGCGTCGTAAACCCCACACACAACCTAAAGGTGAGTTGTTCTCTGTCGTTTGATATTCGGGCTGCTGGGGCTCCAGTCCTTGCGTCTCCGCGTCAGCGACCCTCGGTGCACGGGAGCTCCTGGCAAAAGCTCGTTCGCGGTTGCTAGGAAGGTGTTTGTACCCAGAGATGGTGCCTCCGCTCGTTCTAGCTCGCGGTGACTGTGTTGTTTCCCTGACTGGCAAAAACAACTGGAGTGATAGTCTGATTCCCTTTCCTCGCTGTCAGCCCCAGTCTCCGGTGGGGGTCAGAAAGGACAGCAGCAGGGGGCTGGCGGCAGCAGGGGGCGTCCCCTTCTCTTTCCCAAATATTTGTGGACAAGTGTTAGGAAACACTCAAGTGCTGAAAAGTTACCCAATTTGCATTCTGTCCCATGTGTTTGGGAAAACAGGCAAGCTCATGGATTTTTGGAAGCTGCCAGCTACCACTGAAGTAGTTACCCTTGAGGAAGCCAGACCTGGGAGCTAGCTAGGGGCCTCTTTCTGGAAAGTGTTTTTCCTTATGTGAGTGTGTGTGTGTGTGTGTGTGTGTGTGTGTGTGAGAGAGAGAGAGAGAGAGAGAGAGAGAGAGAGAGAGAGAGAGAGAGGTATGTGAGGAGTTTGTCTTCTTTTCTTTTTGCTAGCTAGATGTGCCCCTTGCACTGAAGACAGGAAGAGGTAGATTTGTTTTAATTGTATAATAATGAAACCCTCCCGGAGCTGTTTTGCCTGAATCACTGCAGGTGGCTGTGGGTGCTGAGTTGCCTGAGGCTGCTGAGTTGCGCATCTGGCATCACTGACTCTGTTTTTGTGCCTCCAGGTCAATGCCTTTTAAGAGAATAGCCAAAATATGAGATGGGGGGAGGAGATATACACACACCGCCAAGACTGATGTGAAATGAATGAAGTCACCTGCTAGGAGTGGTGGGGGAGAGAGAAGGCAGTGTGGCAGGGCAAGGGATGGTTGGAGGACCCACTGAACTCCCCAGATGTGAAATGAGCCAGCTTAGCTCTGTACTAAAATAAAGGACAGCCTCCTTGGGACTTGCTTTCCTTACTATACTCAGGGCTTGGCGACGGGGAAGGGCAGGTCTGCTGTGTAAGTGCTGGAACAAATCTCTGAGAATAAATCTGTCTTCTTGTTTGGGGACAGGAGGAGTGTTGCTGGTTGCTCATCACTTTATAAACTATAGTCAGACTCTTTCAGCCTGATTCCTGTTGGTCAGTACTGATAGGTGCCCCAAAACCCCCATTCCCAGAAGTTCTCAGGAGGGAAAGCTGCCTGGGCTCCTGGGGCAGCCAGATTACGTGGTGATGAACTGCCCTGGAACCCCTACAGTGTACCTGAGCCGGGAACTGGCTTTCCTTGTACCCAAGCTGTGACCAACACCTTCACACTCAACAGCTTTCTTGCTCCCTTTTCTCTCACGCTCTCTTCCTGTCTCTCCCTTCATGCCGCTCTTTCTTTTTTCCTTCATGGTTTAGTTCTATAAATGAAAATTCACCACCAGCCATCCTTAGCACAGTGAGTATATGGTATACATATTAAACTATGATTTTGAATTCCATTTTATGGGCACTTTTGAGCCCACATTCAAACTTCCATTATTTTGTCACTTTACATTAGTTAGTTCCCTGTGGCAAGAAATTTTGTTTATTCCTGTTTTGCATTTTAATACCTTTAAAAATTGTTTATGAGACTTAGCATTTCCAAAATTTGAATTTATATGGTTCATTGACTGCAGCTGATTATGAAAGAAGGGATGCTAAGATCTTGGAGTGAATGGAGTGAAAAGCATCTGTGTGTACTTCCCAATATCCGCCTGGATATTGACAAAAAGTCCTGCTGCCTGGACACAGGAGTCCAAAGTAAGGGCTGAAGATCCTGGCTCCTTTCTGGCCAGCTGTGTGACCGCCAATGACAAGCCTCTCTGAGCCTTCCCTTCTTCACTTTCAGAATGGACTTAGAAATGTTTATCCTGCCTCCTCCACTACTGTGTGAGGCTGAGAAGAGATATGAGAAGTGGGTGTGCTTTATAACACGCTCCTCAAATTAAAAAAAAAAAACAACATGTATTGCACAACATTTTGTAAGGTTGCATTTAGGAACTTCCAAAGTTGTCACATAAAACCTTTAGCCAACTTAGAAATCATATAAGCAGTAAAATAAAAATAGGTGACATAGCTTTAAGAGGCTATTTTCCATGGTTCACATTTTCACATATATTCTCATTTGACTTTTCATTTCCCATAAAAAACCACTTAGAGATTTTGCTCAGGGGAGCATCACCACAGGTAAACAAAGCGTTCAGAGTGCTGCTAATGCTACCAGGGGGCGGGCAGAGCACACAGGATTCACAGAGGCTGCGCCAGGCAGGGAGAGGTCTCTGCAGCCCAGGCCTCCTCTGTGGAGCTCTCAACAAGCACCATGTGCTCATCCAGGGTCCAGCTGGTCTATCGGGTGAGTTTTACCTGCTCCTCAAATCTGAGGGCTAGCAGCCATTTGCAGAGCTTGAAAGGAACAATTCCATAAGAGCATTGCTAACCTCATCACTTATATTAAAAAGTGTATAAAACCTCAAAAGAAAAGTGCTCCATCTAAGCATTAATCTCCATAGACAGACCACAGAAGCACGCCTTGGATGTAATAAGCTGTGATCCACATAGGGGGGAAATTCTTTTTTAAAAGCAAAAAAAAAAAAAAAAAAAAGCTGTGGCCACGTTAACCCAGAATAACTATTGATCTGTGGTGCTTTCCTGCACTGTGTATGACAGGCTGGTACATGAAATGGTGACCAAGGACAGAGACTGCAACCTTGCCTCCAATTTTCTAGGTTGTATTTAACTCAAAGAGGGCTGGGAAGCCTGTGTTTTTCTTTGTGGAAGCATTTTTGCACTTTGTCCTTTCCTGGGCTTTCTCCAGAATGCTCATGGTGCTTTAGGTCCTGAGGCAAGCACTGAGTTATCATCAAAATTCACTTATGGAGCAGAGAAAATCGTGTATTTACCATGCTTCTATAGGTCACCTTCATTCTCAATCTTATTATGGCGATTACTCAGTAGCATGGGGTTCCTGCAAGCAAGCTGATGCGTTTCCTTCTAAATGGAAGGCAGAAGCCTTCCAGGGAATGCAGACATCCTGGTTAAAGCCATTACCCCCCTTCAGCCCTCCATAATTAATAGGGACATTTAGAGTAGCTGGCCTGGAACTTGAGGTACCTCAGCTCTAAAGCAAAGGCCAGGCAGGGGAAGAAGAATACATTGCAGAGCACCTCATTGAAGTATAAGTGTTTTCCTGTGTCTGTCTGTCTGTAGGGATGGCTCCTTGCACAGAGTAAGGCTCCAGATGATGGCCTCCATTTCTCCTTCCCACCCCATAAAAAGGAGCCAGTGTTCCTGGCTGGCTGCCGTCTGCATCTTCATTCACAGAGGTTACTGAAATGTGGCCAGGAAGCATCAGTCTGGCACTACTGGGGCTCCAGCTCCTTGTCCTGCTGCAGCACTCCCTTCTCCCTGGGGTTCTTTGCTTGTTTCTAAATCAAGAAGGCTGTCTTTTCTGGCTCCTCTTCCAAAGGCCTAACTGCTTCTATGACGCCCAGCCCTGGGCAGGCCTCCCTTCTGTCCAGTCTCGAGAGATGCCCTGTGAGAGGTGGGCTGGCAGTTGGCGCACCCAGGCTTCTCCAGGGAAGAGTCTGTAGGGGTTGTCAGAGACTGTCTGGGTCATTCTCAGCGCCTCCCAGGCTGTCTAGCTGAGCTGAGACCGGCTGGGCCACTTCCTCCTCTTAACCACAGTCCTTGATAAATGAGTTTCTGAAAGAAGACCAGCAAGATGCTTTCTGGCAAACTTCCTCTAGGCCCTTCCCTGTACCAATGTCATTGCTGAGACCCCCAGTGCCCTCCTTGGCATCCAGGCATACGGGTATATATAAGCTCCCCACTTCTCCTGGGAGGTTATCCCTGCCTTCAGCCAGCCAGACCAGAGCCGTTCTCTATTGTAACTGATCAGGCTTGGGCTTACAGACAGAAACACACACACACACACACACACACACACACACACAATGGGAGAAGCACATGGGACAATGCTGGTTTTAATTTATGTCCCTAACAATTATTAAATCTAAAATTAGAGCACTTTAGCACCACCACATGAAGCATCCAAATGCCTTTCATTCTAAGTCCATCCTGACCTGTGTGGATGACAGTGGAAGTGACATTGGGGGTGGGGGTGGGGAGCACTGCCTGGGGGAGGCATCATCAAAGGAGAGGCCCAGGAGAGATGTGTGACAAAACTAAACATCACCTCTACCATTTGTGGGATAATCTTTTGAAATCGGGCCACTGGGGGGCTTTCACTAACTCAGCCTGACACAGCACAGCAGGCAGCTGAATGAAGGCTAAAGACCCAAACGAACATTGTTTTTAGAGATTTAGAGGTGGCCTTGGAGTGCTCAGCCTGAATACCTATTTGAAAGCAGTTAAAGGCTTCTGACAAGATTGTTTAATAGCTAGTGTGTGGGCTATTCCACACATTGACACAACCACCTCTGAGGTCTCAGCCCCAGTCTTCAGGAAATTTCCTCATCTTCCTTGTGCTGCCTAGGGTTCTCAGATGGTCCTTAGAGGTACCTTAGAGGGTCCAGGAAAGGATTGGGGCAGGGGTGGGGGGCAGCGAGGCTGGTGCTGTTCCTGCCGTGAGCCTTATTCTGAAGGCTTTCCCTGCAGCCCTTCTAGCCCTTCTGATTCTGTGAATGTTGCATGACACTCCACTCTGCTGGCACGGAGCAGCCGTGCGGCTTTTCTGGTTAATGGTGATTGCAAATGAGACTCTCGAGTCACATAACAGGAGCCCCAAACCCCAGCAGTCATTGGGTTAGCCGTGTGCTAGTGTTGGAGTTGGCGAGAAGGCTGAAGCCAGCTCTGAGAGCAGGTGAGCCGATTACCCCTGCATTGCATTTAAGCAGCAGCCCCAGGCCAGTGCTGTGGAGCTCCCTTGACCTCGTCCCTCCAGCTA